TGTACATACAGCCTGTGCGTGACAGGGTCCTGTCAGACATTCGTTGATATCTGCACAAAAAATATAAGTGTGTCAGAAACCACGTGTTCATTAATGAGGAATTTTCCAAATTGAAATATTAATTTCGTTGAGTTCCTTTTCAAGAAATGCTCAAATCATCCCTGGCTTACTAAGACTTTGCCATAATACGATTGATTTAAATATTTGATATCGCTGATGTTGCCATTATATAGTTTACAAAACGAATTTATGGCTTGATGCCACTCGTATTGCGCCATTGCCGCGTCAGTTTACCCATATGGTTTACCCTTAAAATATTTCTTATAGTGGTTTTGAGAAGTAAATGTAATCATCCTTACTTGACAGGGTGATACTATGAGGTAACAATCGATTTTGGGTAGAACGTTGACTTTTTCACACAAGTGTTAAATATCTATTATAGTTATTGAATGAAACACAGTCTTACCAACACAGTAAGTTCCATTCCCAGTGTAGCCTGTATTGCAAGTACAGGAGAAGTTTCCAGGGATATTCGTACATACAGCCTGTGAGTGACAGGGACCTGTCAGACATTCGTTGATATCTGCACAAAAAATATAAGTGTGTCAGAAATCTCGTATTCATTAATGAGGAATTTTCGAAATTGAAATATTAATTTCGTTGTGTTCATTTTTAAGAAATACGCAAAGTATTCCTTGCTTATACTAAGCCTTCACGATAATGCGATTGATTTAAATATTTGACATCGTTGATATACTGTAGATATACTTTACAAAACGAAGTTTGTGGCTTTATGCCACTCGTATGCCGCCATTGAAATACTGGATATAAGTTTTGAGTGGTAAATGTAATCATCCTTACTTGAGAAGGTGGTTCCTGGAGGTACAACCATCGATTTTGCGTAGAACGTCGATTTTTTTACGTAAGTGTTATCTATTATAGTTATCGAATGAAACCGACACAGTCTTACCAACGCAGTAAGTTCCATTCCCAGTGTAGCCTGTATTGCAAGTACAGGAGAAGTTTCCAGGGATATTCGTACAGACAGCCTGTGAGTGACAGGGACTTGTCAGACATTCGTTGATAGCTGCACAAAAAATATAAGTGTGTCAGAAACCACGTGTTCATTAATGAGGAATTTTCCAAATTGAAATATTAATTTCGTTGAGTTCCTTTTCAAGAAATGCGCAAATCATTCCTGACTTACTAAGACTGCCATAATACGATTGATTTAAATATTTGATATCTCTGATGTTGCCATTATATAGTTTACAAAACGAATTTATAGCTTGATGCCACTCGTATTGCGCCATTGCCGCGTCAGTTTACCCCTATGGTTTACCCTTAAAATACTTGTTATAGTGGTTTTGAGAAGTAAATGTAATCATCCTTACTTGACAGGGTGATACTAAGAGATAACCCTCGATTGTGGGTAGAACGTTGACTTTTTCACACAAGTGTTAAATATCTGTTATAGTTATTGAATGAAACACAGTCTTACCAACACAGTAAGTTCCATTCCCAATGTAGCCTGTATTGCAAGTACAGGAGAAGTTTCCAGGGGTATTTGTACATACAGCCTGTGAGTGACAGGGACTTGTCAGACATTCGTTGATATCTGCACAAAAAATATAAGTATGTCAGAAACCACTTGTTCATTAATCAGGAATTTTCCAAATTGAAATATTAATTTCGTTGAGTTCCTTTTCAAGAAATGCGCAAATCATTCCTAGCTTACTAAGACTTTGCCATAATACGATTGATTTAAATATTTGATATCGCTGATGTTGCCATTATATAGTTGGCAAAACGAATTTATGGCTTGATGCCACTCGTATTGCGCCATTGCCGCGTCAGTTTACCCATATGGTTTACCCTTAAAATACTTCTTATAGTGGTTTTGAGAAGTAAATGTAATCATCCTTACTTGACAGGGTGATACTATGAGGTAACACTCGATTTTGGGTAGAACGTTGACTTTTTCACACCAGTGTTAAATATCTATTATAGTTATTGAATGAAACACAGTCTTACCAACACAGTAAGTTCCATTCCCAGTGTAGCCTGTATTACAAGTACAGGAGAAGTTTCCAGGGATATTCGTGCAGACAGCCCGGGAGTGACAGGGACTTGTCAGACAATCGTTTATATCTGCACAAAAAATATAAGTATGTCAGAAATCACTTGTTCTTTAATCAGGAATTTTCCAAATTGAAATATTAATTTCGTTGAGTTCTTTTTCAAGAAATGCGCAAATCATTCCTGGCTTACTAAGACTGCCATAATACGATTGATTTAAATATTTGATATCCCTGATGTTGCCATTATATAGTTTGCAAAACGAATTTATAGGTTGATGCCACTCGTATTGCGCCATTGCCGCGTCAGTTTACCCGTATGGTTTACCCTTAAAATACTTCTTATAGTGGTTTTGAGAAGTAAATGTAATCATCCTTACTTGACAGGGTGATACTATGAGGTAACGCTCGATTTTGGGTAGAACGTTGACTTTTTCACACAAGTGTTAAATATCTATTATCCCCGAGCCGACGGTGCGAGGGTACTAATTCCCCCCGGCTATTTACACCCGGGCAAACGAAAGCATTAGCGGAGTCTAAAGTTCATCAGTTATCGCGGGCGTGGGTCACCAACGGTGTTGGGTGGGTGGTCATCCTCACTGATCTCAAAAATATGGTGGACTATCACGAATAGCGGACACTGATTGGTCCAATTTAAAGTTTGCATTATAACGACTGCATGACTGCAGCGAAATGTTGGGAAATTAATACTTTTGTAATTAAAAGTGATATTTTTAGGCGATTTATCATTTGTAATAATATTCTTAAAAAATTATCGTGTTACCATGACAACTACTTCAGATACTTCATGTTCGGAAAATACAATGATTTTGTCAGGAAGGCGAGGGTTTCTGCATGCATGTATTTTCTAGTACGAATAATAACAAAAGTGTCATATGATCAAACCATTTATTGGCATTCCGCAGTGAATCCGTGAATCTCCAGGCCGACTCCCAGTGAAATGGATAGGGAGTTTACGATTCACGACGCGGCGAGAGAAGACGCGTTAGAACTTAGAAAGGCTTGGTAATTAGCGCGGCCTAAGCCGTGTCGTCTTATTCTGTTCCCTACGTTGGGAAACACAACGCGCTAGCGTAAACGTTTATTTGGGCAGGAAAATGATAGATTTTGCAAAATCTTTCTAATTTTTGTTTAAGCATCACAGAAAATGTAATCAAAGGTACTACTTCGTCAACAACAAATTCAAGAACATTTTCACGTAGTGATCACAAGTTCACAACGTAGAATCTTCGACTTGGAATTACACGGCTAGTTACCAAGCCTTTCTAACGCGTCTTCTCTAGCCGCGTCGTGAATCGTAAACCCTCTATTATGACTGTAACGCTACCTCCTCCCGGGAATTTGAAACGAAACTTGAAAGCCGGTTTCAGTCTTTCCACGCGAAAAACGCGGTCGATCAAAACCGACTTAATATTTACAAAAAAAACCTTGTAAACAGCACTCAAACCTTTCTATTGATGCATTTATTCATGTAAAACATGCTAATAGACTTTACGTTTAGTTTTCTTCTTATACTTTTTCTAATATAATTGTTTACGCGAAAGAATTCGCGAGGCATAAACACGCATATTATGACTCCCACATACGCTTGTCTGAGGGTTCGCAGATTTCGATCAAGAAAGAAATAGGCAGTTTTTCTGAATGTAAAGTTCCAGTTATATTCGTTTCAGTGCCGCCTAGCTCTTTTCTGTTTGAGTAGACACATGTGAGAATTGAAAAATCTGATCTAAAATCAACCAATGTGATCTAAAATCAACCAATCAGCTTAAATCAGTTGTCAAGTAACGGTCACAGATTGATTCGAAACAAAACAAGTATAGGTATAAGTATAAGTAAAAGATTATTATTATTATTATTATTATTATTATTATTATTATTATTATTATTATTATTATTATTATTATTATTATTATTATTATTATTATTATTATTATTATTATTATTATTATTATTATTATTATTATTATTATTATTATTATAACTTCACCATTCGTTACATTAATAACTCACTTCCAACTCGTAAAAACCTTACTAAATGGGGAATATTGTCCAACTCTGATTGCTCCTTCTGCTTAAACCCTGAAACCCTTTTACACGTAGTTGCTGGATGTCAAACGTACCTCCCACGATTTACATGGAGACATGATTCTGTTCTGAACTTCATAGCACAAACGCTACAACCTGTAAACAACTCCAATCTTTTCGTCGATCTTCCTGTTTATAAAAGCCCATCAATTGTAACTGGTGACACATTCCGCCCAGACCTACTTCTATCTATCAACTCGGATTGTCTCTATATCCTTGAACTTTCTGTTGGTTATGAGTCTAATCTACAAACAAATGTTGATCGGAAAAGAAGAAGATACGAAGATCTCATTACACAGCAAAAGAAACAATTTAAGTCCGTAAAATTTGTAAATTTGTCAGTTAGTTCTTTAGGCGTTTTCTCAAAAGAATGTCATTCCTTTTTAGATATGTTAAATGATCTAGGTCTTGATAAAAGACACCAATATTTCGCTATCAGGAAAATTATGTCTATCGCGATTAGGACAACATATTATATATTTTGTTGCAGAGATAAGGACTGGTTAAATCCGGAATATAAATATTAAGTAGGTTCAAGTAGTCAATTATAAATTACCTAAAATAGTGAGATTTATCATTGTATATATACGTATATAATTTCAATAAAGTTTCCATTATTATTATTATTATTATTATTATTATTATTATTATTATTATTATTATTATTATTATTATTATTATTATTATTATTATTATTATTGTTATTATTATTAGACATCGAGCTGAGCAGGACGTGCTTTGCACATGTCTGAAGTTTAATCGAAATATTCTTACTTGATCTACAATCTACGACTTTTGGATTCATTCATATTAATTATGATCCGTTCAAGCTTTATTTGTTTACTTTTGTCCTGTGTTATATGTTCATTTTGTGAAAAGGATTTTGTGTCCCTTGGTCGACATCAATGGCGTTGTAATAACAAGATTAATGATCGTAATTCAAATGTTTATTCTAACCATTCCGCATCACATGGAATAAATGCGGAGCCCGTCATCACTCCACCAACTACAGCCGCTGTTAAAAAGTCGGGAACAAAGTGTTGTTGCGGAAAGGTTTGTAAAGGAACTCGAGGTTTAAAAATGCATCAACGTAGTTGTCGGGTCATCATGGGACTAAATAAAGAGCTATTAGAAAATGTATTTGAACAGGAAGAAAGCAACAACAACTGTGCTGGAGACCTAGATGATATTGACACCACCTCAGTCTACAATACTAATCAGGAGGAAGAATATCCTGAGTTAAAAAATGGTATAAATCTTCCTAAAACCAATTCAGAATGGCTAACGGCTAACGAACATTTCAAATTTTCACTAATGTCTAATCCACCAATCACAAGTGACGATTTAAATACATCAATTAAACTACTAAATGACACCATTTACACCTACTTTGCTGGAAACTTCGGGTTTGTGGAACGTCTGCCGGATAAATTACTCAATGATAAATACAAGAATCACAGCATAAAGGACTTGAAGAAAGCATTGAAACTACTTAAAATATCCAACTCTGATCTTGCCGAAATTAAATATGTCTCTCGTCTCGTGCGAAATAAGCTCAAATATAACACAACTAATGATAACATGCATAATAGTACCAACGAGTCGTTTAAACACGATAAATACTTTGAACGTAATTTCTGGGGATATGTCAAGAAAGTCATAAATTGCAGCGAATCAATTCTCCCTGCCTTCAATATGGACGACTGTTTAATTTAAAGTACTTTAAGACAGTCTTGACTAAGGTCAACCCAAACAAAATATTTCAAATTCCAAGTTGGATTCCGATGTTACACAATCCCATTATTGAATTTGACCTTGAACCTCCAGCTTACCGACAAATAACAAATATTATTCGTAAAATGAAAACATCTGGCTCACCTTGTCCTCTAGATCAGATCTCCATTATAAGTTTTAAGCGTTGCCCATACCTCCGAACATATTTAACCGAACTAATTCAAGCAGTCTGGCTTTCTGGATCTGTACCTGACGAATGGAAGAAAGCTTGTACTATATTAATCAACAAGAAAAATGATGCTAATCTCCCCCGAGAACTTCCGTCCAATAACTCTTCAATCCGTACCACTGAAAGTATTCACTTCAAGTCTCCGTAATGCAATGTTCTCTTACCTACTCGCCAATAACTTTATCGAGAACGAAATTCAAAAGGGCTTCACCCCTCATATATCGGGGACATTTGAACATACAGCAAAAATGGCTTATATAATCAATCAAGCACGAATAAGACAGCGATCTCTCGTTATAACCCTTCTTGATCTCAAGAATGCGTTTGGTGAAGTACATCACAATTTAATCCAATCTGTTCTTGGCTATCATCACATACCTCAACATATTCAACTCATGATTAAAAGCCTTTACACAAACTTTAAAACATCAATCATCACATCTGATTTTAACACCCCATTTGTAGAAGTAGGTCGTGGAGTTTTGCAGGGAGATTGCCTCAGTCCATTACTATTTAACCTATGCTTTAATACTTTTATCCAGCACATAAAATCGGAGAAATATCAACAGTTTGGTTTTTCTTATAAACTTCTCAACTCAATTCATTGGTTCCAGTTCGCCGACGACGCAGCCGTAATAACCGGCCAAGAATCTGAAAATCAACACCTATTAAACCGTTTTGCAATTTGGTGTCAATGGTCAGGGCTACTACTAAAAAGCGATACAGCGATACAACGATACAGCGATACAGGAACCTGGAACCGGAACCTGGAACCGTGCATAATTTATGCAAATTAGAGCATTTTGCACCACATGAGATATACATAATAATAATTTACAAGGGGGAGGGGGCGCAATTCAATGATAGTATAAAATATTATATGCAAGGCATTTTGATTTTTAAACAAAACAAAAAATGTACATCGTTGTATAGTAAAACATGTTTCGTAATTGTGCGGCCATTCTTCTTGTCTATTTTGATATGACTGCATGTGACGACGCACTCAGCTTATTTAGCCACGCACGAGGAAACCACGCACGCAAAGGAGATTGCGCTGAATTCGGCAATCAGCATGGAGTGTAGTCTATGATGCAATCCAACATTAAATATGCTATATACACTGCGAATATTGCGAATTTTAACTAATAAAATAAATATCAGCTGCATGCTGGCTAAAAATATCCGCTTGAAAATCAATCACAAACATAAATGAAGTTTATATGAAGGTAACTTCAATGTAAAAGATTTATTTAATAATGAAAAATTGATTTGTCTGATTGAAATTCAGCGTCGAAAACATATAAATAAATAACTTCATTGAAGTTTAGTCGCTTTAACAGCTTATTCAATGTCAGATTTTGCTTTTATAATGTCGGAAACAGTACTTGATAGTACTATATTTAAACCGTGATAATACAAAAATGTGACAAATATTGTATATCCAGTTAGTTGTGAGTAGCCTGTTACAAAAACTACAAGTTAAATTCAAAAGGGTGTACACATTATACGTACTGTTGAAGGCATAACAACAATATAGATTTATTTTTGATATTTTGGTATACTTATAGTTGCCTTTGGAGATTAGGCTATATTATATAATGTTAGACCAGGAAAGGGGAAAATCTGAAATCTGACTCGACTCAGGGTTATATTAGGGTAAGAGACACGACTAATGAAGCGGATATTTTTAGTCATGCAGCCGATATTCGCAATATTCGCGTATTCCGAATACGGCAGCGTACATAGGACATTCAATGTTGGATTGCATCATATACTACATACACTACACTCTAATTATTTAGCGCACAATTGCTAGTAAATTCAGCGCAATTGCGAAAATCCCAAAGTAGCGAATGAAAATTCAGGACTGAAAGCAAGAGAAGCTTTAAAGAAATATTTATTTTATTATGAACGAGTAAGTTTTTGAATCATGAGGCTTCAATCCATTCTTAATCCATAAGAGATGATTCTTACTGGAGATCTAGGAAGAACAGTTTAGAACTGATAGAGCTATCCAGTATAAATAAAGTTAGTTTAGTTTAGGTTTCCTCCTGTAGTAACACTGGATCAATAAGAGATTATTCTTACTTGTCCTCTAGGAAGAACAGTTTAGAACTGATAGATCTATCCAGTATAATTAAATTTAGTTTAGGTTTCCTCCTGTAGTAACACTGGATCAATAAAAGATGATGCTTACTGGACCTCTAGGAAGAACAGTTTAGAACTTTGCGTGCCGTAGTTTCCTTCAGTCTGTTTGTTGCATTTCGTAATGAAGTGCGGCGGCTAAATAAGCTCAGTGCGTCACATGCAGTTGTATCAAAACAGACAAAAAGAATCGCCGCGCAATTATGAAACATGTTTTACTTCGTAATATATAATGCTACAACGATGTTCATTCTTTGTTTTTGTTTAAAAATCGAAATGCCTTGCATATAATATTTTATACTATCATTGAATTGTGCCCCTCCCCCTGTAAATTATTATTATGTATATCTCCTGTGGTGCAAAATGCTCTAATTTGCATAATTTATGCATGGTTCCAGGTTCCGGTTCCAGGTTCCGGTTCCTGTATCGCTGTATCTTTGTATCGCTGTATCGCTTTTTAGTAGTAGCCAATGGTCAGACATGATTATTCGAGTAGATAAATGTAGCACCTTTGGCATCAAAAAAGCTCTCACCAAATCAGTCCAGTACCTCCCTAAATTAATCATTAACAAGTCTATTATTCCGGCTATTGAAAGTGGAAAATCATTCTGCTATTTAGGAAGGTACTTTAATTACGAAATGACAAATAATGAACATAAATCGGAATTAGTATCACTATTGACAGACCTAATGAAAGAAATAGATCTGAAGCCATTACATCCGAAAAACAAGATTCTCCTCTACAGTCGCTACGTTCTTTCAAAACTCTCATGGCATTTCACTATAGCATCAATTCAAAAAACGTGGATTTCCGAAAGCTGGACTCAGTTTTCAAACAATACATTCGTAAATGGCTTGAGGTACCTATTTCTGGATCACTTAGTAACATTTACCTAACCAGTAACAAATTTGGTCTGAACATTATCCCCCCATCAACTAAATTCATACAATGTCAAACAACTATCCGCAGTGCTTTGAAGTCATCTCCTAATGAATCAATAACCCACCTCTGGAAGTCGATCTGTAATCATACTAATACCCAATATGATCAGTATACGTCGACAAAAGAAGTAATCAAGTCATTCCGTGAAATTCATGAAGATAAATTGGAAAATCGGTTAAAATATCAAGGTTCATTCTTTTCCAGCATCTCAAAATTTTCACTACCCCAAGTAAATTCGATTTGGCCAACCTGTCAATCCAAACTACCAAAAAACATTTTCAACTTCACTATTCGCTACATAAACAATTCGCTACCAACCCGTAAAAACCTTCAAAAATGGGGACTCTCTTCGTCCTCTGAGTGCTCGTTTTGCCTTAAACCTGAATCTCTGTTACACGTTGTTGCTGGCTGTAGTTCCTATCTTGATCGATTTACTTGGAGACACGACTCAATCCTAAATTTTATTGCAAATAACCTCCCATCAGAACATATTCAGACCATTTATGCTGACTTACCATCATTCCCTAACCCCTCTGTTATTACTGGCGATGACTTTCGTCCTGATCTCCTAATTTTGACCAAAGACAATTGTCTATATGTACTCGAACTAACCGTTGGATATGAGACTAACCTAAGGAATAATATACAGCGCAAATACTCAAAATATAAAGAGATGATCGTAGAACAAAAGAAAAAATTCCGACCGGTAAAGTTCATTAACCTCTCAATCAGTGCACTCGGTGTTTTTGAAAAGGAATCGTCAGATTTTATACAAATGTTGGAACATTTGAACTCAGATAAGGCCTGTGTTAAATATACCATTAGGAAAATCATTAACATTGCAATAAGAACCACATATTACGTTTTCTGTTGTAGAAACAAGGATTGGTCGAATCCAGATTTAATGAACTTCTAGTTAGTCTGTTACTTTTTGTATCATATAATTATGACCATATGTGTTATGTAAATGTAGTAATGTATAGTGTATCAAGTAGCCAATTGTAAATTACCTTTAACAGTGAGATTTTCAATTGTAAGTGCTTAAAAAAAAATTCAATAAAGTTTTCATTATTATTATTATTATTATTATTATTATTATAAAAACGGAAGAAGGATAAATATAGAGAACTATTGAGACAGCTAGGTAAAAATTTTAACCAAGTTAAATTTATAAATCTCTCCATCAGCTCTTTAGGTATTTTTGCAGAAGAATGTTATACATTTTTAGACATGTTAGATAGTATTGGTCTTGACAAAAACCACCAAATGTACCGCGTTAGGAAAATGATGACTATTGCTATTAGAACTACATATTACATTTTCTGTTGCCGAAATAAGGAATGGGAAAATCCGGATTTACTAACAATTTGACTTATCTCATTGTATATATATATATTGCATGCACTTTGTTCTGTTATTTTAGTTTAGTATAATTGTGATTCAAATAGCCAACCGTAAGTTACCTTTATGAGAGAGATTTACGATTGTATAAGTATGTAAAGAAAAACATTTAATAAAGTTTCCATTATTATTATTATTATTATTATTATTATTATTATTATTATTATTATTATTATTATTATTATTATTATTATTATTATTATTATTATTATTATTATTATTATTATTATTATTATTATTATTATTATTATTATTATTATTATTATTATACAATTTATTTATACACGGTAAAATCTACAGTAGTTACAAGAAAGACAATAAACTAATACTAGTACTAATACTGGTTTACAAGATTGCCGTGTGGGGGCTCGTTTATTCGTCGAAACACTTATTAACAGCTCAGTTTTTAAATTTGGCCTGTGTTTGAAGCTTTCTTATTTCTTGAGGAAGGCTATTCCACAATAGTGCACCACTATAACAAAAGCTTCATTTTAAGTAAATTGTTCGTGGCTTAGGCAAATTCAGCCTCATTTCAGAATTTCTTAGGTTATACCCAGTTCCGCGAATGGAAAAGAATTCTTGTAAATAACTGGGAACATTACTCTTAAGTGTTTTAAACATAAGACCAAGTTTAAGTTTTTGTCGTCTTAATGACAAGTTATCCCAACGCAGACTATCTAATAATACACTTGCGTCGGTATCATAACTTGATCTCATGATGACTCTCGCTGCTCGGTTTTGCAATTTTTGTAATTTAGTACTGAGTGTTTCCCCAAGGCCATCCCATACCGTGCAGCAATAGTCGAAATGAAGCTGAATGAGCGCTTGGTATATTTGTATGGATGCGTCTATAGTTATAAACGATCTAACACGCTTTAGTGCACCAATAGCAGATGCAACTTTCTTACATAGTTTATCAATATGATCATGCCAAGTAAGATGTTTATAAATATAAACTCCCAAGGATTTCACCGATTCAACCCTAGTTATTTCATTTTCGTTGAATCTAATATTTATTTCGCTATCTATGGACCTTAATTTTTGCTGAGATCCTATTACCATAAACTCCGTTTAAACAATATTTAGACTTAATCTATTAGTAATAAGCCAGCTATTAAGCTTTTTTAACTCAGAGTTTATTACATTTTGGAGCTCACCTGTTGTGTTCGCTGAATAACTTATACTAGTGTCATCAGCGAACATTCTAGGTATAGCATGATTCAAGCAATTCGGAAGGTCATTTATATAGATCAGAAAAAGTATGGGCAACAGGTTACTACCTTAATGGGGAACACCACAAGTCACCGGGGCAGAATTTGACAATTGATCGTTAACACGGCACTTTTGAGTTCGGTTGGTAAGATAAGATTCAAACCAGGTTAAACTCATTTGATCAATACCATAGTTTCTTAGCTTTGTAACATAATTTGGTGATCGATAGTGTCAAAAGGAACATTACTCCAATATTCATGGACCAGTCACTTGTGGCTTCAAGCTTTGCAGTTACCGTACTGTGTAGCGATCTAAAGCCAGATTGGCAGGAAGTTAAAATCTCATTTGTATTTAGGTATTCATATAATTGGTCAGAAATAATTTTCTTAAAATTTTTTGCAATGGCAGGAATAATGGAAATTGGTCGGTAATTGCTTGGGTTACTCTTAGGACCACTTTTGAATATTGGTGTCACCCTGCTGAGTGATGAGTTCGAGTGGAAAATATGGCATAGATTTTTTAAAATAGATATTAAATATTTGAGTGACATTTCAAGCCGATGGCGTTGTAACGATATATGTTTGGGTTACTGTGCTGTAGATAGTATAAATAAGTTGACTGAGGAATTCAATACAGATGATATACCGCCATCTTGTATTCGGAGTTATTACATGGTGTCAGGAGTAAATTAAACTAGATATGGATAAGTTAGATCCTCCTAAGTCTTTGATATTAACAGGAAATTTAGCTGAAAATTGGAGAAGGTTTAAACAGCAGTTTGAAATCTATCTGATAGCATCGGGTTTAGACAAAAAGGACGTAAAAGTTCAAGCAATGGCGTTGCTACACGTGGCTGGCTATGAAGCGTTGGAAGTGTATAATACATTTCAGTGGGACACAGCAGGGGATGATGTCAAAGTTGATAAAATAATGGAGAAATTTGAAAGATATTGTAATCCAAGAAAGAATTTAACATTTGATAGACATTCGTTCTTTACAAGAAACCAACAGGAAGGTGAGACAATAGATACATACGTTACTGAACTAAGAAATAAAGCCTCTAGATGTGAATTTGCTGATCTTAAAGATGGATTAATGACATAATTAATGACTCTGTAAGAGCACGTCTGCTTCGGGAATCTGATTTAAGCTTGGAGAAATGTGTAGATATTTGTAGAGCATCTGAAATAAGTGCCTTCCAATTGAAGGAACTTACTGATGAAAAGTCAGTACATGCAGTGCGGGTTGAAGATAAGGCGGGTCAAAGTGATACATGGAAGGAAAAGAGAGAAGAGAAAAGGGATAAAACTGGTAATAATATTTGTAACTATTGTGGTTATCGACATAGGAGAGGTCGTTGCCCAGCATATGGTAAGAACTGCAATAGATGCAAAAAGTTGCATCATTTTGCCAGTATGTGCAAAGCAAAAGAGATAAACTTTGTTGATAAAACTGATGAAGAACAAGATCAACATTTTTTTATTGGAACAGTTAAGTCGGATGAAGCGAAGCAGGACGATTGGTGTGTAAATTTGAAAGTAAATGAGCATACCACCTCATTTAAGATTGATACAGGGGCCCAGTGTAATGTCGTGCCAGTGAGCCTGTGTAGAAAAGTTGGAATTGAATACAATCACAAAACTGGAGCTAAGTTGATTTCATATTCAGGTCATGAGATTAAGGCAGTAGGCAAAGTCACAATTGCAGTTGAATGCAAGAACAAGTATTATTTGCTGGATGTACAAGTTGTAAACTCTGATGTCATACCAGTATTAGGGTTGCCAAGCAGCAATGAATTAAATTTAATTCAGAGAGTTCATAACATTGAGTCAAGTAATGACCAAAGCACTGAAGAAATTTTGGAAAAGTATGAATATTTATTTGAAGGAATTGGTACTCTACCAGGAGAATATGAAATTAAAATTGAAGAACCTGCCAGTCCAACAATTTATCCACCAAGACGAATTCCGCACCTGTTAAAGGATAAGGTAAAAGATGAGTTGAATAGAATGGAAGCAAGGGGCATTATAACAAAAGTTGAACAACCAACCAAATGTGTTAATCCAATGGTGATGGTGAAGAAACCAAATGGTGATGTACGAATTTGCCTTGATCCGGTGGATTTGAACAAGGTGATTCAACGAGAGCATTATACGTTAAAAACAGTTGAAGAGGTAGCAGCTAGCCTTGGGAATGCAAACATATTTAGCACATTGGATGCCACGTCTGGGTTTTATCAAATAAAGCTTACAGAGGAAAGTACATGGTTTACGACCTTCAATACACCTTTTGGAAGGTATAAATTTGAAAGATTGCCATTTGGAATTGTATCAGCACCAGAGGTTTTCCAAAGAAATCTGGCTCAGACTTTTGAGGATATTGAAGGATGTGAGGTGATCGTGGACGATTTTTGGTATGGGGTAAGGATGAGACCGAGCATAATGAAAGATTAAAGAAGGTAATAGAGAGAGCAGCTGAAGTAGATTTAAGGTTTAACAAGGAGAAGTGTAAATTTAACAAGAAGGAAGTGAGATATGTTGGACATATATTTGGGAGTGATGGTCTGAAACCAAATCCAGACAGAGTTCAAGCTATCATAGACATGCCAGTACCTCAGGATCGTAAGAGTCTACAAAGATTTTTGGGAATGGTTAACTATTTGAATAAGTTTATTCCAAACTTAGCAGATATAAGTAGACCACTTAGAGAGTTAATGGAGTATTCAGTGGCATGGCACTGGATGGAGAAACAGCAAGAAGCATATGATATCCTTATTACGTTGATTGCTCAAGCGCTTGTGTTGAAGTATTTTGACCTTGATTCTGACATTACAATTTCAGTTGATGCATCTTCCGAAGGCTTGAGAGCTTGTCTGTTACAAGGAAATCAGCCAGTAGCTTATGCATCACGAGCTTTAAATCGGGCAGAGCGTAATTATGCACAAATAGAAAAGGAGATGCTTGCAATTGTGTTCGGTGCCACCGAGTTTCATCAATATATTTATGGAAACACTGTGACAGTAGAGACAGATCATAAGCCTCTGGAAAGTTTGTTTAAAAAGGCACTTTGTAAAGCACCGCAATGTATACAGAGAATGATGCTTAAAGTACAGCAATATGATTTGAAGGTAAAATATATACCAGGTAAAACATTGTATATTGCAGATACTCTTAGTCGTGCTAGTCAGACCAGTATGTCAGAGTGCATGGATAAGGAAGAATTTGAAGTTCATTTATTGGTACCAATATCACAAGAAAAAGCAGAAGAGTTTAAGAGGGAACTAGATCGAGATCCCATTATGGTAAAACTTAAAGAAACAGTGTTGCTAGGCTGGCCAGATAAAATATCTGAAGTAGACCCAGATTTACAAGAATATTGGAATTTCAGAGATGAATTATGTATCTGTGACGGACACTTGTTAAAAGGTGATCGCCTAATTACACCATCTGCTCTTCGTCCAGAAATGGTAGACAAGATACATAGTAGTCACTTGGGAATGGAGAAATGTCTTAATCGAGCAAGGGATTGTCTATTTTGGCCAGGTATTACTAAGCAAATTCAAGATAAAGTTGCCAAATGTCAAGTTTGCAACCGGTATAGAAATAAGCAAGTGAAAGAGCCGTTAATACCGCATCAAGTACCTGACCGGCCTTGGCAGATTTTGGCAGCTGACATGTTTGTATTAGGCAAAGACAAATATTTACTTCTCGTGGATTATTATTCAAAATATTTTGAATTAATTAGAGTCACAGACAGTACAAGTAATACGGTAGTGAATGTTCTTCAACAACACCTGGCCAGATATGGACTTCCAGAGATTCTTTATACGGATAATGGTCCAGAGTTTGCCAGTAAGGAATTTTTCAACTTTGTCAGAAAGTACCAGTTTCAGCATGTCACATCATCACCAACTTTTCCACAAAGTAATGGGTTTGTCGAGAGAACTATACAGACAGCAAAGAAATTGCTGAAGAAAGCTTGTGATGATGGGAGCGATCCTCATTTAGCACTTTTGGAATTGCGAAATACTCCAATACAGGGAGTTGGTTTATCACCGATGCAACTATTAATGGGCCGTCGTGGTAAAACACTTATACCTATAAAGCAGTCCTTGTTAAAGCCAATGGCATATGATGGAGAAAAGGTTCAACAATCATTAACAGAGAAGCAAAAAATCCAGAAGAAATATTTTGACCGAGGAAGTAAAACTTTAGCACCGTTACAGGAGGGAGATACTGTGAGGATGAGATGCGGAAACACCTGGGAACCAGCCAGGTTAGTGGGAGAATCTAAACAAGGAGAACCTAGATCGTTTGTTGTGACCGCCAATAACAAAGAATACCGGAGGAATAGAAAACATATACTAAAGACTTCAGAAGAAATTCGTTCAAGTCCAGAGAAGACCAGTACAATAGACATTGAAGAACCTGTTTATAGTGAGTATGATACAGTGGGAGTATGTGGTGAAAAGCAAATTGAAACAAGTGGCAAAAGCATACAAGAAGAAACTAATGGGACATTAGTAATCACCAGTTGTAAGTAAAGTTAGTGGCAGAGTCATCAGAAGACCTGCCAGGTATATGTCTTGATTGCGTCTAGTATATCAGTTTAATTGATTATAAAGTATATTATCTTAATGTTTTTTTTTAAAGAAACGAACAAAAAAAATTATAGTAGGTAATTGACATCTTACAAACAAGTAGCTTATTGACATTGATGGAAATTTTTCATATTTAGAACTTTAATAGTAATCTACAATCCTGGACAAAACCATCTGCGACACTCTATTAAAACATTCCTTTGTGGCATTTTTTTACCTTTTAGACCGAAATAATTTACTCGTTTGCCCCCCTCCGCTCCCCAAAACAATGTTGGACGTTTTATCCGTATTCTACGAATGCAATCAACATTGAACGGTAGGGGAAAGGGGGAGGTTTTCTAAATTTACCATAATATTACACCTTTTTGACAAGTAATTCGAAGTGTTGCAGATGTTTTGTCCAGGATTGTAGTAGCTTATTGACATTTATGGGCATTTTTCATTTTTAAAACTTTAATAATTTAGCTTTATTACACTGACCTGAAAGGTCAAGTGTCTTAAATCCCTAATATTCTGTTTTCGTCGAGAAATGGAGTTTGCGTTAGCGCATCGCAGGCTCAGGGTGCAATGACTAAGCCAAAAATGCCATCGATTCAAATGCCATCGATTCCTCGACTGCTTGATTTTGTTCTCATAGTAACAAGCTCCGTATTTATGTACGTAGTAGCCGGCTCATGCCATGCTTGTGGTACATCTTTCTTAATAGCCCATACGCACGCGCACAATTACCAGTTCCAGACCTCCTGAGTCCCTATCTCCCTCAGAGACCATGTGCATTTATGGATAACGTTTGTATTTGTGAGTAATACTCGTGTTTCATTGGACCGGACGAAAACATCTCCTTAGGATAATTTTGCGTATCCCACTCACGATTTCTGCACGCTAAATGCGGCTATTTGTATTTCATGTGCTATATTGTCAAGTTTTTGTTGCTGAAAAAGATGAATCCACCGGTCATCATGCCTCGAACGGGTACGTTCTACAAACCTTTACTTACTGTTAAGTTGATTCTATGTTATAACTTGTCTATTGAGCGTACAAAGTCACCTTTGAGTATCATTTTCAACTCGTTTTAATAGGTTCAATGTTATATCATCAATCATGCCACATATTTGTCAGTATGGCCCAAAGCAAATCATAAATATAAAATCTCATTTGGGTCGAAAATTTCCAATAGTTGAATAATCATTGTTATTGTTTATATGCCGCATTTCATAGCTTCTTCCCGTACACAGATCGATGTTTAATTGTATAAATATTTTATATTTCCGTTTGTCATGGCTTTTACTGCTGTAGTGTGAAATTCGCTTGACTGGGCTTGTCTGAAACTTTTGCGTATTTATTAAAAGACAAAACAACATTTTGATGCAAGTTTGAGTTTCTGCTAAAGTTTAATATTTGTTTATAATTTCATTTTAATTTAAAAACCGTGCGTGTGTGAATTTTTCAGACCTGTTTATGTTAGCAAGCAAACTGACCTGACATCATTTTATTTATCAAGATTCAAGAACGAAGATCCTTTATTAAAAATATTTTAAACTCTCCCTAACCTACAAATAAACCCTGATTCTAACCCCCACCCTATTCCTATTTCCTACCCTAACCTAATGAAACCAGTGAATATAAAATTGTTTACTTTAAAAATCATGTCCTAGGTAACCTAAAAATATAAAACCCTGATCCTAACCCCCACCCTAAAGGCCATTTTCCACTCCAACTGTATCGAAGTGTAGCAAATTTCTATGTTTCCTGAGCACACCAGAGTGGAACTAATGACTTTGACACAAACAAAAATGCTACGATACCTTATGTATGAGTATTATGCCCAGCAACGGAAACTTTGCAAAATATTGGGGGGGGGGGACGAGTGCCGAAGGCACAAGATTTCAAGGGGGTATGAGGGAATGCTCCCCCAGATAAAACCCTGATTCTAACCCCCACCCTAAAGGCCATTTTCCACTCCAACTGTATCGAAGTGTAGCGAATTTCTATGTTTCCTGAGCACACCAGAGTGGAACTAATGACTTTGACACAAACAAAAATGGTACGATACCTTATGTATGAGTATTATGCCCAGCGGCGGAAACTTTGCAAAATATTGGGGGGGGGGGGACGAGTGCCAAAGGCACAAGATTTCAAGGGGGTATGGGGGAATGCTCCCCCAGAATTGTAATTATGCCTATTACGACTATAAAAGTGAAATTAAGTGAGTGTTTTAATTGAAATAAATAAATACAAAACATTTTAAAGAAAAATTTATTCAGTTGAATGACCAAAGTCCGACCAAAGTGCAAAGTCTCAACCGAAGTGTAATTGCTTAAATTGATAATCTTATGAAAAAAACATGGTAAATTTGTGCCAACAAGTTCAAAATTTGTGCCAACAAATTTACAACAAATTGCAGTTCTGATGTTTGAATGCACATAACCACACCAAAACGTTATCAAATCTCTTCAGTGGTGTAACTTTACTTTTTTGAACACTTGTCCTCAGGGCAAGTTGAACATGAAAGATAGTTGCCCTGAATAAAATTCACTTGCCATCAGACGACGGCCACTGGGGTACCTAGATATAAATTAAATGGACAACATGTCGACACATTCTCCCACTGCTCTATATGGCTATGTTATACTGCCTCAGATCTAGCTTTGGCCAAAAAAAAAATTGAGTCAAGTACATGCACTATAAAAAATTTATGCGACAATGAGAACATAAACTTAAAGATGCCCAGCTTTTTGTGGCAAGGCAATTTGCCCAATGGGGCAAGCAAGATAAAATGTTAAAAAAATCTTTGTCTTGGGGATGATCAGCTGTGGTGTTGACTGAAAACGCTGAACTGTAGGAAACACTTAAGCGTATAGCTGTCTTATTTTATTTTTTGTTTTTCTTTAGATGACTCCTTGTTGTCTTTTGGCGAGGCTTAGTTTGGCGATGCCTTATTTTTGAATGCCAACTTAACATTGAATGCCAAGTCACCTTTGAATGCCAAGTCACCTTTGAATGCCAAGTCACCTTTGAATGCCAAGTTACCTTTGAATAACAACTTAACTTTGAATGCCAACTTAACTTTGAGTAACAACTTAACTTTGAATGCCAAGTCACCTTTGTCTTTGAATGCCAAGTCACATTTGAATGCCAAGTCACCTTTGAATGTCAACTTAACTATGAATGTCAACTTAACTATGAATGCCAACTTAAATTTTAATGACAACTTGTATACTATTAATGCAAACCTATATATTTTGAATATCAGTTGTATTGATTTAAATGCCAAATATGCTGATTTGAATGCCAAATATGTTGAATTGAATGCCAGCTGTTTTAATTTAAATGTCAATTGTATTGATTTTAATACCAAATGTTTAGATTTGAATGTGATACTGAAAACTAATATTGAAAGAAATAGTCATGCCTACATTAATTCCAACCTAACTAAAACAAAAAAAGCTACATACAAGGACCTAAACCACAGGATAAATTACTGTAAACTTAGCTTAAGTGGAGACATTGAAGTCAACCCTGGACCTGCCTTTGTTATTCCTGGTAGAACTATACATGCTCCTTATAGTCAAGGTAATGTTGATGTCTTTGGCGAAAATGCAGGTCGACGATGTGTCGCTATAAGTTTATGTTCCTTGATATATGTACACGGCAATGGTTCTATATTAGACACAAGTGCTTTAGTTAACATTATGAACTTGGGCAATGAATTATATTCCATGTTATCAAGAATATCAAGACAAAGTTATTTATTACTTACCGAACTACCCACAATGGTAACGGTTGAAGATACTGATTATTCATTTGAGTTCAGTGAGAGTTACACTGCTAATCTTCATTTCTCCACTGCGAGTGAAAGTATTCCATTTGTCATGCCTTTAGATTCTGCTTTAGAGCAGTTACGGCAAGAAAGATTTCATTTATTTCTATTGACAATTGAACATAATACTGTATCTATCTTTACGGACTCCAATGGTTTATTGAAGGTAGTTGATTCTCATGCAAGGGACTCGTTTGGTATGCCTCATCCTCATGGGACATGTGTGTTGTTAGAGTTTGATTCAATCAGTAATTTGACAGAATATTTTAAGTTTATATACAGATTTGGTGCAATATTTGAAGTTAGAGGTGTTACAATTGTAAATATTGGGTGCAATAAACAATTAGAACATTCAAATGAAACTGTCACAGATTCTAGTACAACTAATAACGATACAAATTTCAATTATTCCTCTTCGACAGGTGGAGATGATACATCCCATGAAAATTATTTTCTCTATACCCAGGAATGTTCACTCTACATTTATTCTATTTGTTTTTCTACTATTATGAATTGTAGTTATTGGACTTACCAAACACAAAGTGATATTATTGAGCATGCCGTAGAGATGTTTAATAATGAAACAATTAATGATAAAAATCAACCATCAAAACATTTTCCAGGATCCATTGAAATATGTGGTTCACAAATTGATATAGTTAATACATCTAGACACGAGGGAACCCTGTGTCTTGCATCTTTGTCTAGTAGAGTACGCTTGGAGACAGTCATTCTGTCTAATGCTAAACAAAACACAGGATTTTTTATATGGCTTTCAAACCATTGTTTAGCTTGTGTTATTGTTAATCAAAGGAAGCAAACAAAATATTTTATACTTTCATCCACTGAAACTCGTGAGCTAAATTTACTAAAACCATTCTCTGACCCTCATCCCTTTGTTAGTAGATTCTGCGATATACTTGAGTTCACTGATCCTAACATAGAGGAAGCGGAATATTTAATTCAATTTTTGTCATGTCAAAGTACACTAACAAAGTCAGAAAAACAAAAAGTACAACGGAAACACGCATATAAATCTATGGATCCTATAAAGAAGGAAGCTCTTCTTGAAAAGCGAGCAATGTCTTACAAAGAAATGAGTACAAGTGAAAAAGAATCTTCGCTTGAGAGAAACAGGTCGAACATGAGACATAAATACCATGCTATGGCTCCTTCTGATAAAAAAGAACTTCTAGCAAAACAACTTACGAAATACAAGTCTCTGTACCCTTTTGAAAAGGAAGGTATTCTTGAGAGAAACAAGTCGAACATGAAACGTAAATATCATGCAATCAATTCACCTCAAAAAGGAAATAAACAAGAAGCATACAAGAAAAGTAAATCAACTAAATCTAATTTGGACTATTTCATATGCAACTTCCATAATAAAATAAGAGAAGGGCCTTGCTATATATGCTCTGTTTGCAACCGACTGTTGTATAAAAAATCAGTTAAATTGCTAAATAGGAATAGTTACAGCTCGCCTGTTCCAACGTCTGTGTTCACAAACATAACGTCATTTGACAACAAGGAATATATCTGTTCAACCTGTCATTCAAAGGTAGCTAAAGGAAAAATTCCTTGTCAAGCAGTTTACAACGATATGTCTGTTGATGAAATTCCAGTTCAACTTGCACTTCTTGAGAAACTAGAACAAATTCTTATTGCACAAAGAATTGTTTTTGAGAAGATAATTATAATGCCTAAAGGACAACAGAAAAAGGTGTCCGGAGCAATATGTAATGTACCAGTTGATTGTGATCAGACATGTAAAGTTTTACCACGACCACCAGAAAGGTCCGGTATTATAATGTTAAAACTTAAACGCAAGCTTGAGTTCAGAGGTCATGTATATTTTCAAGCAGTTCGTCCCCAATTCATTGAGAATGCCTTGAACTGGCTGACACTGAATAATCCACTGTATTTTAATGTGACAACTGAGATGAATAACATCAATGTAAATCTTAAGAACTTGGAACAAAATGAAATGTCTGATATAGATACATCAACCGAAGCATGTTCTACTAGCAGATTGCCGACAAATGAAAATGACGAAATGGAAGAAAATGATGATCCATTAAATGTGTATCGACAAGCAACCAATGAAACATGTTTACAATCGGTGCTTCCAGATTATCCTGTAACTGTGGAGAATTCTGAAAGAGGTTCATTGGGAAATGAAATATATAATATTGCGCCTGGGGAAAATAGGCACCCAGTATCAATTATGACTGACAAGAAATGCGAAGAGCTCGCATTTCCAATCTTATTTCCAAAAGGACGATTTGGTTATATGGAAGAAAGAAAAATTAAACTTACACCAGTTAAGTATTTCAATGCTAGACTTCTACATTATAGTGGACGATTTGCTACAAATTCTGAATACTTGTTCTTTGCACAATTCGTAATTGAACAGAAGAAAGTTTCAGATAGCATTAATATAGCTTTGAAAAAGATCCAAGGCCATCCTCTTACTGCATCCCAAATAAAGTCTGATGTAAATAAATTAAAAAGTTTAGTTTGTCAAGAGCAAGCATACTTATTCCTAAGGCAAATACCTGGCACTCCACCATATTGGCAAAAATTTATGTATGAAGTTATCGCAATGGTAAAACAACTTGGTATTCCAACATGGTTCATGACATTATCTTGTGCTGACCTTAGATGGCCTGAGTTGTTTCAAATAGTAGCTAGAACGCAAGGTAAAAATTTAACTGATGAACAAGTTCAAGCCTTATCTTATGTTGAAAGGTGTCAAATGCTAAATGCTAATCCTGTTGTTGTTGCAAAGCATTTCCAACACAGAGTTGAGACATTTTTTAGTGAGGTACTTCTCAGTAATATTAATCCCATAGGGAAAATAAGTTATTATGCTCTTCGTATTGAGTTTGAAATGAGAGGATCTCCTCATTTACATGCGTTAATATGGACGTCTGACTGTCCAAAACTTAGATCTGAGAGCAAAGATGCTTATGTACAGTATGTCGATAAACATGTTCAAGCAAACCTTCCTGATGAAAATGATGAACCAGAGTTGCTTGAGTTGGTCAAAATGTATCAAAAACACAATCATTCAAAAACCTGCAGAAAATACAAAAATGTTAGCTGTCGTTTCAATTTTGGGCAATTTTTTACCAAACAAACTATTGTTGCTGAACCCCTTGATGTGAATCTAGATGATGAATGTAAGAGCAGTATATTAAATAGACGTAAGGAAATACTGTGTTTAGTTAAACAGAAAATTGACGAACTGTTGAATCCATCAAAAGAAAACTATGATGCCACTCTGGCACAGACAGATATTCTAAATTCAGTTGGTATAAGTGAAGATGAATATTACTGGGCTTTATCCATTTCACCTGATTCTCACTTTGACTTACATCTTAAAAGACCAGTAGACAGCTGTTTTATTAACAATTATTTTGTTGCTGGTGTTAAGGGATTTGCAGCAAATGTTGATTTACGACCAGTTTTTAATCACTACAAGAGTATAACATATGTTTGCTCCTACTTTACAAAGGATGAAACAGAATGTTCTCAAGCTATAGCTAACGCAGCAAAAGAAGCTAAGTCATCCAACATGAATGTTAGAGATGGATTAAAGAAAATTGGTGCAGCTTTTCTCTCTAAAAGGGAGGTAAACTCCCAAGAATGTGTGTACAGATGTATGCCTGAATTATGGTTAAGGAAAATATTTCCAAGAACAGTATTTGTCAGTACAGATTTACCTGAGAAAAGAGTGCGTGTAACCAAGGCTAAAAATGAGCTCGATGAACTTGATGATGACAGCACTGATATATATAAATCTAATATAATTGAACGTTATAGTTTAAGGCCAAATGGAATTCCGGCTGTTGATAAATTATGTCTGGCACAGTTTGCTACATCTTACTATAAGGACTATAGAACTGACTATGCTGAAACAAAGGACTCCCAACCTGATGTGTTAAATGATGATCTACTTGAGTCGCACAATTTGACGGAAGATACAGAAAAATGTCTTCCTCCTAAAATAAAATTAATTAACAAAAACGAATATATGAAGTGTAGAAAAGTTAAAGCTGTTCTAAGGTATCACACACCAAACAAAACAAAACAAAAGAACCCGAGTTATATTTCCACCATTTGCTCATGTTGTATTTTCCATGGCGAGAAGAAACAGACCTTCTAAGTTCTGATCAAACATACACATCCAAATTTTATGAACCTGACGTTCAAGCTGTCATTGAACAAAACAGGGTAGTATTTGAACCTGATGCTGATGCTATAACTGACGCACTAGAAGCAATGAGAAATAATGAAGGAAATATTGTTCACTCATACGATTCCATAAATGATCAGGAAAATTCAGATCTAAGAGATGAGACACGAAATGTTTCAGATCTTAACGAGTCCTTCAATGAACAACAACCTTCACATCTTGATCCTACACAGTCAAATCAGCATTCATCTGGAACAGTTACTTACTATAACCAACCATCTGAAATTCCTGACGATGAACTACGGCAGTCCGTCAGATCCTTAAACCCAGAACAACGCTGTGCATATGATATGGTTCTCTCATGGTGCAGACAATTGATAAAAAACTTGAATAGCTTAAAACCTGTTGAGCTAAAACCAATATATATATTTCTAACCGGAGGTGGTGGTGCAGGCAAAAGTCACTTGATTAAAACAATATATCATACAGCAGTAAAAACGTTTAGACATCCTCCTTTTAACCCTGAGTTACCAACTGTTTTATTATTGGCACCAACAGGTGTTGCAGCGATAAATATTGATGGAACAACAGTTAATACAGGGCTTGCCATTCCAAAAGAAACTGGTGATTACCTTCGTGGGATGTCTGACCAGAAGAGAACACAGTACAGAATCTCTTTAAAAGACCTGAAACTTATAATTATAGATGAAATTTCTATGGTTGGCAATATAACACTGTTGCATGTCCACCAACGATTGGAAGATATTTTTGGTGTGTCATCAATTGATTTAATTATTTGCAGGCATTAGTATTATAGCTGTGGGTGATCTATACCAGCTTCCTCCAATTAAAAAGAAAGCAATTTTTGATGATTACAAAATGGAAACTCACAATCTCTGTCATCCATGGAGAGTCTTCAAAATGGTTGAACTTATAGATATCATGAGACAAAAAAATGATGAGGCATTTACGGAACTTCTTAATAGAATTAGAACAGCTTCTCATACAGAGGATGATATTAAAGTTATTCAGTCAAGATGTATAACACCTTCCGATCCAAACTATCCCTCCGATGCCCTTCACATTTGGGCTGAAAATGATCCTGTGAATGAACATAACCAAACGAAACTAGAAACAATTCAAGCACCGCTATTTGTTCTTAAAGCAAAAGATCAGTATGCAAAAAATGTCAATAAACAAGATATTGATAGAGTTTTAGCAAGAGGACGTTCTGAAACATGTGGACTTGATTTTGAAATTCAGATGAAAGAAGGTGCCAGAATAATGCTCACTACAAATATCAATATCCAAGATCGACTTATCAATGGCCAAATGGGGACTGTAGTTAAAATTCAGGTGAACGAAAGTAATAAACCAACTATCTTATATATAAAATTTGATGATGAAAATGCTGGGAAAACATTGATTAACAGTAGTGCCAACTCTTTCGCCAGAGAAAATCATCTTGTACCTATTGAGCCTGTTCTAGCAAAAATCAAAGTTAGACCAGGTAAACCTTCTTCACCGGAAATTCACAGAATACAGTTTCCTGTTGCACTTTCATGGGCTTGTACTGTTCACAAAGTTCAAGGACTTACTCTTGAAAACGTCGTTGTTAGCTTAGAGTTGCATAAACAAAGATCTTTCAACTATGGCCAAATCTATGTGGCCTTAAGCCGTGCTACGTCTTTACAAGGTTTACACATACTTGGAGAAATACAAAGTAAACATATAAAGGCAAATCCGAAAGTTCATAAAGAATATGAGAGACTTCGAAATTCCTGCTTAATAGCCTCGACTGAACACAAATCTTGCAACACATCGGTTCTAACCATATCGCTGTTGAATATTAGATCTCTTAGAAAACATAGTGATGATATAAAGTTACATTCACAGTTGTTCAATTCTGATGTCCTTGCATTTACTGAAACACAGCTTCTGGCTAAGGACTCAGACACTGAAATTACAGCGAATTTGAAACCTTTTACAATTTATCGTCAAGATCATGATTCAGACAAGTACTCCAGCATGGCCATCTGTATTAGAGACACTTTACAAATGGTGGACTATGAATATTTCCCGTCCCTTAATGTTCTTAAATTTGTTCTTGTTGACACTAAACAAAAAGAAACCCGGACCTTCCTTCTACTGTATAAAAAGAATAATTCTAACGTATCACAATATACAGAATCATTGGAATATCTCCTTAATATCCACAAAATTGACATGGTTCTTGGTGACTTCAATATTAATTATTTCAATGGCACTCATTCTCAACCACTAATATCGTTAATGGAATCTCTAAACTATACACAAATTGTTACTGAGCCTACGTTTATTTCTGCCGGTAGTTTATTGGACCATGTCTATGTTAAGCCAACTTCCATACGAATAATGAACAATTCCGTAGTGAGTGTTTATTATTCTGATCATGATGCAGTTGTCACCTCACTACAGTTTTCAAATAACGTTTTATAGTTTTAATTGCTAAACCACAGACACAGTACTGTTGCAATCATTTTTATTATTTGAATCGTGAATGTAATTTTGTAGACTTTTATAATAGAATACTCAAGTTGTATGTTCGAATGCCAACTTTTCTCCAACAGTGACACAAATCATAGCTGAACCTCACAATAACCTATGACAACGTAAGAAAACATGTTCTGCTGCAGTTCATTCTGCAGTGCTGCCCCCATGAATGGCATCTCTTGTGCTTCCCTTCTCAGATGACCTGGTGGACACTCACACAATCTATTAAAGGTAAGTTTTCTCTCTTTTACAGAAGTACATTCTTCATAGAGCGTTTGCACTCATTCCCAGGGACCAACTCAACAAAAACCATGGCGGCCATGTTGGTGTTCCAGACAAAACAGTCTTAAAATTCTTTTGAATTGGAATACCAACATGGCTACTGTGACGTCATGTGCAAATGCTCTATACTATATATATTCTTTACTGTTCTTAATTGCATAATTATGTGATTATATTTAGTTTTTATTTGTTCACTTTTTTATAGATCGAAATCCTGCCTGACCAGCCACGAAATGCCATCTTTTTTTTCAGAGCAGCTGTCATACATTTCACGCTGGCAGTGGATTCTCATTTTAAAGTGGTAAGAAATAATTATGTATATTTTAATAGTAATAACTAATATGTTTCGCACTTACTACTCTGAGTTTTGCACATTTTTAATTAATGCTGCGACCTTCAGGGAAGCATTTATACTCATCACTGCAATACACATACAACTGAAACTACACGGATCAAACTGAAGCTATTCAGTCTAGTCTGCCCTGGCCTTAATGAGTGTACGTGCAAAATCCCATCTTTCTTTATCAGCTTCTGGAAACATAAATTTATAGGATGACTTATCTTTTATATTTAATTTAGACTCATTTCCTGTAAACAACGCCACCACCGATTCACTAAAAATTACCTTACAATTCACCTTGTCCTGGTTGCAACTCTCTTTGTACTAATCAAGGATTGGTGTATCATTATGGACGACGAAAGCTTGAGTACCTTACCTTGCTAGATTTGTTCCGCGAAATTTTACGGTAACACTGTAGTTACCACAACTGTTACAATTCTGGCTAAAAAAGGAACCACTACTGCAACGAAAAGTACATCTGTACAAAACGTTACAAACATCCCAGAAAAAAAGTTACTTTTAAATTCATTTGTGAAATTATTTCTTGTGTATTCCCTTTCGTGGCTGGTCTAAAACTAAACCCAAGAACGAGCAGTGTGATATTGAATGATTAGCAACAAGGACTATATTCTTCGTTGAGACTCAAATCATAGTTATCATGTGCTCATTGGTTATCATGTGCTCATTGGTTATCATGTGCTCATTAATTGTTATCTCAATATTGGAATATGATCAAGGAATATTGCGTAGGGCAAAATCTCCATTGTGCAAAAAGAGATCGTTCAAGGCAACCGAAAGGCAAAGAAGACAATGGAATAGTGTATCTCATTGTTTTACTACCAAGAAATGATCCACGACAATGATTTGATAAAGCTGAATTAAATATGGTCAAGTGATTTTCTGTGTGAACCCGACATACTCTCTATAGAGATATTATTACTATACATTTGATATTCAACTAAATATGATTAAAGCACTAGAGATGTTACCTATACATCACTGTTTCATTTTATAATATTTTTATAGTATATCGTTTTCCTATGAAGCATTGTTACTTGTGCAAAAACGCAACTCCAGGTTTCAAACAGTTTTTGCTTTCGGGTTTTTGTCGAAATATTGATTTTCTTTGGATAAATCTACGGTATCAACCGCTCAAACTGTTCTACGAACTCTCTTGCTCCCCACTCCCTTGAGTCTATTATATACCATAGCGCGTATGTCCTCATTTTCAAGCAGATCAGTGTGAACGCCTGAGCAGGCGTCTTGTTATACTATAGATAACAGCAAGATAAGAAATTATTTTATTACTGGAGATTTGTTGCGTTAAATTTTCCTGTATTTATCTAGCGAATAAAAGGAAAAAGTACGAAAAAATATTAAAAATAAAAATAATATTTTCGTGAAAAAATGCGTTTTTAGCACATTTTAATGATTTTATGACCCACGACTTTACCCACGACTTTACCCACGACACACGACTTTTAACCCACGACACACGACACACGACATATAGGGACACTCATTCAAGAGATACCATAAGTCGTGTATGACGAGCCGCACGGGTTTAAACAGGATTAACTTTTAGGTGTTGCTTAACGCAGCATTAATAGGAAAAGTTTGAAAGGTGTTGACATTTGTTTCCAATTGATAGCCTGGATTATTTTCCCTTGCATGTAATTTAATGCCAAGTAATGAGATGTAGTTTAATCATTGAAAAATATTAACTAATCTAGTTTATGAAGCGACTTGTCAAGTTGTCATCACCATGCAATTACTGCATATTAGAACTTCAGAATATAAGTTTACAAAATTTTGGGCGCCAAATTCAATTGCGCCAAATGTCTGAAGCGAACAGCATGTCAAGGGATCGTGGCGAACAAACGCGTTTACTCAGACAAGCTTCATATTCAAAACTGGTATGCCTACTGGTATATGCCTTTAATGCTTTATCTGTCGTAACGCCGAAAGACGCTCTATAATATAAAGGCTATAGTCATACCACATTCCTTATATGCATGTAGTAATTATAACCATGGCCAACGTGTTGGTTGACAAAAATATCAGCGAATTTGGTAAGACACTTTTTACTTTACATTTATTTTACAATAGTCATACACATATATTGCTATTTTTATGTTTATTAACTCTGTAATCCAAATTAGTTTCTGTATTCTATCCTTCTTACAGTCTCTTATACACATGTGTCAACCCCAACTCCCTGCTGACGAGTCCATGAGACCATGAAGGACGAAACGCATATTGAATTTTACACACATGACTATCTCTTTCTCTCGCTTTATATATTTTACATGCCTCCATACAAGCTTTTTAGTACAGCGCGATCATATTCTTTGGGTCTGATCAAATATATATTTTACACCACAGAATATATTTTACCTTTACAATCATTTTACACATGCATGCATCTCCAGTTTTGTGTTTCATAAATCTACACCTGTAGCCGTGTAGGCCACTTATATTTCTTAGGTTCACATTTATACAAATACAAGTCGTTTTTTTAACTTTTATCCTCATTTTCATCAAATACAACATAATTTTCACAGGCATACATTGTGCCAACAACACGAGGCCATCACACTATCATATTTCACACAGCACTTTTTGATCTAACATTTAGGGATTATTGAGGCATAAAATTGTTACTAGGACACGTCACCAATATGGTTCTCATTATATCTAAACTTAAAAAAACAGGTTATGAAGATGTTCCATCTTTTCTTAAGCAGTGAAAGCTATAAATAGGAGTTTGTATTTTTCTCTGCATGCAGTACATATCCCACTATAAATTATGGCGCAACGCAAAATATAGCCGTTGCCTCAGCAGGAATAATTAAGAGTCTTTTTAGTGGAAACTCCTGTGCCAGAAAGATGTGCCATCTTTTGCTGGCAGGTTATGAAGATGCTCCATCTTTTCTTAACCAGTGGAAGCTAAATAGGAGTCTGTGTTATTCCTTGTATACAGTACATATATTATACTATAAAACACGGCGCAACGAAAAATATAGCCTACTGAGTTGCATGGCTTTGCCTTTCCGGAATAATTTAGAGTCCTTTTAGTGGAAGCTCCTGTGCCAGGAAGATGTGCCATCTTTTGCTGGCAGGTTATGAAGATGCTCCATCTTTTCTTAACCAGTGGAAGCTAAATAGGAGTCTGTGTTATTCCTTGTATGCAGTACATATTATACTATATAAAACACGGCGCAACGCAAAATATAGCCTAGTTGGCTTTGCCTTTGCCGGAATAATTAAGAGTCCTTTTAGTGGAAACTCCTGTACCAGAAATATGTGCCATCTTTTGCTGGCAGGTTATGAAGATGCTCCATCTTTTCTTAAACAGTGGAAGCTAAATAGCAGTCTGAATATTCCTTGTATACACTAAATATTAGTATGTTGCACTATAAATCACGGCGCGCAACACAAAATACAGCCTTTGCTCCTTTTAAGAGTCCTTCTAGTGTGAAGATGCTTCATTTTCTTAACCAGAGGAAGCTATTGAGAGTCTGTATTACAATTATCCCTTGAAAATTATGGAGCAAAATACGTAACGCAAACATATAGCCTTTCAAAATAAATTATCTTGTATAATTATATAATCTATTTTCCACTCCTTGCGCGACCTTTTTCCAGTGTAGGTCTATTGCAATCCGTGAGGGAAAACAATCTAGTAAGGATATATTAATACCATATACCTAAAGAACGCATTGCGCATCTAAACCAGAAGCATCTTTTAGCGTATCTAAGCCAAAATAGCATTGTAAATTAGCTATACACCTGCATGGAGCGGTATCTATAGCGGTATCCTGTAGTGTTAGCTCTGTCAACAATCAAGACATTTATTTGTACTAAACTGTACCTAAAATATCATATAACATATGTAGGTTAATATTCGGACTGAAATTAAACTTATTACATGTTTGATCTCATACTGTGTTTGAGCAGTTTCTCCTGGATTGATGACATCGCATAGCGTTAATTGTTGGTGGGTAAGCTGCACCTGCTTCCCGAAAAATGCAAACTCAGTTTGCAAATCCCGCTGGTTTTCAAAACGTGCGGCTGGTCATGAGGGAGTGTCCCTATATGTCGTGTGTCGTGGGTTAAAAGTCGTGTGTCGTGGGTAAAGTCGTGGATAAAGTCGTGGGTAAAGTCGTGGGTAAAGTCGTGGGTCATAAAATGTGCTAAAAACGCATTTTCACGAAAATATTATTTTTATTTTTAATATTTTTTTTCGTACTTTTTTCTTTTATGCGCTACATAAATACAGGAAAATTTAACGCAACAAATCTCCAGTAATAAAATAATGTGTACGTTATCTGTAGTATAACAAGTAAATGTTTCCATTTCGTATAGTCTAATAGTAATAAGTCTATAGATGTATCAGTTTGATGATAAAACTAATGTCTTAAGTTATAGGATATAGGTTTATTCGAAGTGTTATAGTCCTATCACGAACGTCGCGAATAACTATGTTGATTGCGCATCATGTCTGATACAAAGCTATAAATTGTACACTGTAATTAATAAGTGGCTCTAACGCTCGACTGAGCCACAAATTTTGCCATTTTATCTCCTACTGAGTATATGCCGGTTCGTGGCCCTTAAAGATAGACACTGAACATTTCATGTGTATGTGGCTTTAGGAAATATTCCATAAATTGCTACGATTTGGCCATTTGGGATGATTTCCCGATTGAAAACCGAAATCGGATTTGTGCGATGCGGGCTATTTGCCGACAAAGCGCGCTAGCCGCTGTTATTTTGACAGAATATGATTATATGATATAGGCCTACCTCTACACTTTTCAGCCGTAATACATATAAATGCGCGCATTGTAATAATATACATATAGTTTAATTTAGCTTCAAAAACTTGATAAAAAAACATGTTATTCGTGTTGGTTCCGGAGCGCAATGCCAATGGTGTGATCGTTGCCAGAGCACATGCAAAGCCGCCTCGGTAGCCTATATATATCATGTATGTAACTCCGGGAAATCTTGCTTATTTCAGTCTAATAAAGTCAACTTTTTTTCTTTGATAATGTGCGCAACAT